CACTGAGCTTGGAAAAAGTTACGAGCTGAGATCCCCACCCAAGATGTGTTCCTGACCTAGAGCCGCCCTTTCACAGTGCTGCAGATTGCTCCTCCAACACCTTTAATCTTGCCATATCCGACTCCCCTTCTCAAAAACCCTCCCTGAATCCTGCACTGCTCTGTGGACTAAGTCCAAAGTTTCACACTATTCACACCTGCCATGAATGTGCCCGTCCCTTGTTTCCTAATCTTCTCTGCAGATTCCCCAGCATAAACCCGTGATTCACTTTATTCAAGAGCTGCAATTAACCAGACCAAGAATGGCCTCCCCGCTCCATACCCTGCATGAATCCTACTGCAATCCGTTAGGGCCCAGCAGAAACCAATCTTGTGTGCCACTTGTGGATTCTCCTGTGGGAGTCCATTTTGACACACGTTTTGCACACCATCTTCTGCCACCACCCCCTCTTCTCCGTATGTTTCTGGCAGCTCTCTGGACACCTGAAGGGCATGGGCCACATCTGATTCCATTATTGGATCCCACGTACTCTTGTGGGCTTGTGAGCTGGTGTCAAAGAAGAACTAAGTGCTCACAGATTCTTACCAAGGACATGATTTACAAATGACTGCAGTGCTTTTAAACCAAATAACTTTAAGTTATTCAAGCTCATATTGGGCTGGATATAGAGTTAAGCCTCTGGGGCTTTCTGTCTAAAATATACTAACATGGGACCAGCAGACGATGTAATGGTTATGGACTCCCATGTAGTTGACCACGATTTGAGTCCTAGACTCAGTGACTTAAAACTCATGCCAGGCACATGTGTGTGCGTGCCCAAAATCCAAAAGGGAGAATGGAGGAGGGATTGCTACATGACCATCCCCCGGGGGGGGTGTGATTTCTCACCTTCCATCTCTCTGTCTCTCCAGCAAGCACACACACCCTTTAGCAAAAATCTCTCTTAAAAAAATACTAATTAAAAAAAAACTGGTAATAATGGAGCCAGCAGGTGGTATGATGGTTAAGGAACTTGACTCCCACATGGTCAACTGCAGTTTGAGTCCCAGACCTGGCAGTTTGTTTTCTCACTTTCCTTCTCTCTCTGGTCAATTAAAAAGTAAATAATAACAACAAGTAAAATTAAATAAATAATTCATTAAAAAAAAAAAAACCTGACAATAAAGGGGCCAGCCACAGTGGTGCAGTGGTAGTATGCTCCCACTATACAGATCCATGTGGAAGGTGGGAGTTCAGTTCCCAGGCCAACTTGGGCACACTAGGCATGCATGCACACACCTGCTGGTGGCTGGAAAGGCTGTGGGGAGGGTCATAGCATGAGACTCTGTTAAGGGTGCTTGTCTCTCTCTCTTTCTCTGTCAAAAGAAATATTTAAAAAAAAAAAAAGAAAGAAAGAAAAT